ATGCATCGTTTTGGCTGGTTGTACAGAAGTAGTAGTTATGTCAGTAGCGTAGGCCTCTACATTACGGCAGTGATTGATGATCCCGGATTTTTAAGATTCCTTTGTCATCTACCCTCCGATATTCACCTTTGATGAATGATTCGATTCAATGAACCTACCCTTCGACGTAGATATCAGGGCCTTCAGGGTGATCGTAAGTGACTAAGGTAACCGTAGTGCAGTGTTAAAGAATGGGAGTTATGGTTAACCTTAGTAAAGGTTGCTTCGTTAAAAGAGCCCTTGCTCTACAAGATGATGTAAAAGGAAGAGTGCTGAGGTTGATGAAACAGACCACGATTACACCCAGCGATACACCACAAAGCTGCTACGAGTAGTCTGTAGTAACAAGACTCAGTGAAGCGTCGTACAATATTCCTAAATATATCAAGCTGGTCTAGTAATGCACAGTTTCTTTGTGTGGTACCAGCAGTGATGTTTGGTCATGTAGCTAGCGTCACTTTACCCGGATTTTATGGGTTGGGACTCGCCTGGTTAATCGACGACCGTGTTGTCCGGTTTTTTGGTCATTATTGCATTGTGGGTAGCATTTGCAATGGCGGACTACTGTATGTTTACCGGAGACTTTTGATGATACAGTGACTATGAAGTACTCTGACAGACTTGTCTTGGTCCCACGAAGCGGATGCCTATCCCAGCCTTTAATTGCCAGTGATGATGAACGGTGCCGTTCCCGGTAAGAGTGATTATGTCGAGTTTTATCAGTCATCCGAGAGAAACAGTTTACCAAAGGTGTCAGACAGAATCGCCGAGCTCGCTTTCACTTGGCTAGGGTTACTCGGTTCTTAGCTTAAGCCCCCAGTTCTGAGGTCACTGCAGCTATGTCTGGACTGTCCACAGGCATCGATTTTACTACCTTCATTTCCCTTACAATTCCTGGGGTCACTGGTCCTTTTACCTCCACCGAAATGTCCTCCTACGAATGTTCTGGTAGATTGACGATCCCATGCCTCTTACTAACTTTTTCACTCTATTGGCGGACCAACTCTTCATTTGGCGAACCATACGTTCCTGCGATCACTGATTATACGACCTGTATCACTACATGTACAATGTGAACGTTCCTGTAGATTGACTGACAATCTCCATGCCACAAACCTACTATATTCAGCACTTCTTCAGTACTGTCATGCTGGCTTGACTAATCGAATGTATCTCAGGAAAGATTCCTTCTTCAGTGGCAATAGTTGCTAGGCCTTCTGACATCAGCTCAAGCCCCAACATACAGAGGCCATCTCCTACTTCGGCCGATACAGCGATTTCTATGCCCGTATCTCGAGGCCTGATAGCATAAGGAATTTATGCTTCTAACAGAACCGCTTTGTCCAGTGGTGGCTCGACGAACTGAATGTCTGCGCTGGAGTTTCTGTGGTACTCCTAGCGCTTTCGCAACCTCTTTAAGGCTGTTTGCTCCAGTACATCACCTATACGTAGAGACCTCTCTACACGGGTGGGGAGCTCACTTTCTTGATCAGCAGGTGGCAGGGCTGTGGTCTCCTGCAGACCTTGCATGTCACATCAACGTTTTGGAGCTCTTGTCTTGTGATCACTCATTGGCAACACCTGTTACAATCAACCAAGCTTTTGATTCGATCGGACTATGCTGCAGTTGTGTGGCACATCATAGAATGGGATCCACGGGATCTCCTCAGCTTCTTCAGTGGACACAACAGTTTTTCCACTTAGTGGACTCTCTCAACATCACGGTCCAGGCCAATCACATCCCAGGGGTGAAGTACGTCATTGCAGATTCTCTGTCCCGTCCGGTTCAACCATACCCGATGGAGTGGAAACTGCATCCGCAGGTGTTCCAGACTTTGTGCCTTCCAATATTGAACCCGACAGTGGATCTGTTTGCTACCCGCTTCCATCACCAGCTTCCAATGTTCGTGTCCACGATCCCGGATCCTTTGGTCTGTGAACATGACGCTCTAGCCATCCCCTGGGACGACTTGAACGCGTATGCGTTTCCACCAGTGGCTACATACCTGGCCGTGCTTAACACAGTTATTGCACCGGGCTACGGGTGCAAAGGTGTCAACTGTCCCTGAGCTCCAGTCTCTCCTCTGATCTTACAAGTTGCTGATCAATCCCGGAACTTCTGGCCACCAGCCTGTGACCTTTCCGTGGTTCTTAACCATCTCACATCAGAGGAGTACGAACCTCTGGCAGAGAAGATTTCAAGTATGTCACGTTTAAGACTTTTTTCCCTCCTGGCTCTTGCGACTGCTGCCAGCATCTCGCACTGGATGTCACCCGGTTGCACTTCGAGAGGACCAGACATGCCAAAGTCCTCCCTGGTTTGAGGTGGGATCTCGTCGCTGAAACCAGTTGCCTGGACAGCCGGACAGACTATTCACCTTTCCGCCACTGTCTACTATTCTTGGCCCTGACGACACCGAGGATCTCTCCCTATGTCCTGTCCGGACTTTACGGGTCTATTTATCTGCCTCCAAGGACCATCGTAGGTTATGCAAGAGACTATGTTTCTCTGTCATCTGCCTCATCTACAGAGGTCTCTCGTACCACACTGACCTTCTGGATGTGATCTACCATCCTTCATGCCTACGCCTACGCTGACCTTCCTCCTCCTACTACGGCCAACCCTCATGAGACAAGAGCTTTGACCTCTACGATGGCGCTACATAGAACTGTTCCCTTCACAGCATCATGGAGGGTTGTTTTTGGAGATTGGACACGGTCTTCGTCTCACCCTACCTCCGGGACTGTCTGTCACTGACGTGGAGGTCTTCACCAACTGGGTCCATTGGTTCTGGCGCAGCAGACGCAGACGCTCGCAAATGCAGATAAGATGCAGTTCCTACCTTCATGTCGGTCTTGCATTCTCTACATCAATGAAAGATATAGATCCTATGTTTTTTATTGGTATGGATTATATCTGGGCATAAACCACCTCACCTAGGGAACTATAGTACTGTCGGAAATAGAAAAAAACTGTATTTTCTCATTTATCTCTACAATTTATGTAGTTGATATGTGAAAGTGTGAAATATCTGTTAAACTAAGTTCGGCCTAACTACTGTCTCAGTGGTAGAGAATTAGGAAACGGAGAAAAAGGACTTTACTGAGGGGAAATTAGTGCAAAAATGAGCAATGCGGTACTTTTTAAGTCCAAAAAGACTTATTTGGAACAGACCATGGCTTTATGCAAATTAGTGTGCGATGATATTGTATTACAAAGGACACTTTTTAAATGCCCAATTTGAAATTAGACGTAGATTCATTATAAACGATAGCTGACGTAAAAAAATAATAACTTTTATGCCGAAACTATTAAGGATCTAGCTACCATGCAGTCTCACTGTCACTATAAAAAGAAACAGATAGGAGGGGTCGAGGAGATATCAGCTAAGATAAGATAATCCTTTAGGGCAATTATACTGGGGAGGTACACAGCACGTCATAACAATTTACAAGTAATATCCAGTCCTGTCGATCTTCGGGTGGTCATGCCACCTATATACTACGATGCGTTTCTATGGTTTTCGGGTATCATACTCTCAACATACCTCAACATAAACTTTATGAAAGAAAGCCAAGTAAGATGTTAATCAGTAGATGAGACATAGTCAACACACATGAAAAAGCACAAAATATCTTTGAGATGACCCCTTGTGCCTGTAGGCAGCACGTGCATTTCATGCCAGGTGAGTCGACGGTCCGTTGTCATACCTGGCTGAGCGACCTAATTGCCATCTATAGTCTGATCTATGGTTTTCAGCAGCTATTCGTATTTTTTCTAAGTTTTGCCCGATTTTACGAGTAAACATGCTTTTCTGGATATCGTATTATGCATCCCACTGAACTCCCAGTTAGGCCGAAGTGGGTTTTTTCGACATATGATATTTGCAATTGTGTGAATTTTAGGGATACAGAGTAACAGCCTAAAAACAGTTTTTTTCTATTTCCGACAGTATTATAGGGCATGATTGCACTGTCATACCCATGACTCCATAGACTGAGAGGCCAGTCTTGTGCTACATGCAGAGGTGGTCGACACTCCGCTTACTGACCTCTACTCTGAGCAGTTATGTCAGTGAAGTGTTGATTTTCGATTACTTGCTTTTTCACCTTTGGTAAGTTAGGGGGATTGGTACTGAACTTTAAACAAGCTGAGCAACTGGGCTGTTCCCTCTTTCACCGCCTTCCAGCATGTGTCTGTGGGGGGTAGTTTCGAAGCAGGGACTGGCCAGATTAAGGTCCTCGACTTTAATTCACTGGGGTCACTTGATAAATCGCAGGAGGCGAGGTCTACTTGCCTAACTGCGACCTTTCGCTTGTCAAAAGTTTCGGCTGAAAACCACATTAATTCGGGACCGCCCACTCCCTAGAATTTTTGTGCTGTGTAAGCTAAGGGGTTATCAGAAGCAACCCATCACAAGTTCGAGTTAGCGTATCAGGAGTTGGTGCTTTCTCCTGGCCTCCTTGTGTTATGCGACCCCACGGCTGTACAGTTGACACAGGGTCATCTGCAGGCCCACCAGCCAACTGTGGGATAATGCATACCGTGAGATAGGATAAGTTTAAAACTTTGGCAATTTTAACTATAAATTGTATATTTATATACTTATCCTATCTCATGCGATGGATACCCATCCGACCTGCCCCACATCACAGATTACTGGAAGCTCAAAGAGGAGAATGACAGCTAGGGGACATCACATGATCATCTGAGCGCACTGCACTCTTATAGATTGACAGGTCATGCTATCGAAGTGGGGGCAGGGCCAGGTGGTACAGAGGCCAAGAGGTTTTAATTCAACTTAGCCTACAGCACGTTTCCACATATGGGTCGAAGACGAAGAGAGAGGTGCATACCGTGAGATAGGAAAAGTATATAAATATACAATTTATAGTTACAATTTCCAAGTCTGTGTCAGTCACATGTCTACCCCACCTCATGTCTCCCTCCCCTCTTGCAGCTCTCCCCGAGAAGATTGATGACTTGGAGGGTCAGATCAAGGGACAGATGAATAGGGTAAGAGTTATCTCCCATATATAACAAACCGTGGAATGAGCTATCACAATGAAGTAGATGTCATATGCTACTTTGACAACTGAACCTACTTGGTAACCCAGTTCCTTCGAAAAAACAACTAAATCTGATAGATATTGATAATTATTTATCTGGTGTTGATTTTGCCAAGCTCAATGCGTCAGTTTAAAATTTTGAATTGAAATTTTTTTACTTCTTTAAAAGTTAATAGTCCAAAAGATTTTACAGGTTCTAATCAGATTAAACTTTTAAACAAATCATAATGTACACACACTGTCATTGAGTTTTGTCTTGATGTTCTCAATCACTGACCACTGTTCCTGACTTGGATGAACACTGTTCCTGACTTGGATGAACACTGTCATATATCTGTATTAATATTAAGTGTCGTTTTTGAGAAGTCACTCTCTATTCATTTCTTGTCCATTATACTCATCAAATGGTTGTCACTCCCATTGCTGCTATGCACCATGGAAAATTAGTTCAAAGTTTGTTGAGTGGAATAAAATACTGTACTGTACTTTAAAATGATCTGAGGGCTACAACTGAAGTAAACCCATCATGATGTATGGGAGTTCAGTTATCTCAGTGATGACTTGCATGGTTGCAAATGATCCCTGGTCATATAGCGTTTGCCCACATTGGTATAAGTGAAGCCTGCTCTTGTTGCCGAAAGGATGTCAGATAAAACAACATCAAACCATCCTGACATCAGCCATGTAGTGAGTCAAAGGAGATGAAGTTAAAGTACATTGATGGACCAGTTATCCTATAGTCCGTTTGGCTCAAAAGCGGACCGATGAATTGCAATCTAACTTGAAAACTTATAAGCGTAAAATACTCAATGAAACACTGATCATAATGAAAACGTCAGACCAACTCTGAGAGGTGTTTGCACAATTTATGTCCTAAAAATAAAAAAGTTGTTTAACAAACTATCATTAAAATATCGACACAGTTCACTATTTGTTACAAGGGAGGAGTGCAGAGAAAGGGACAGCTGGGTGTGCGAGAAAGAATGGAGACGGCACAGCGCAGGTTAATGAATCAATAACTTTGTTGGCACTTGTGCACGTTCTTCTCTAACACCTGGCTTTCCCTTTTCTACACTCCTCCCTCGTAACAAATATTGAACTGTGTCAATATTTTAATGATAGTTTGTTAAACAACTTTTTTAATTTTAGGACATAAATTCTGCAAACAAATCACAGAGTTGGTCTAATATTTTGATTATGATCAGCGTTTCATTGAGTATTATATGTTTATTAGTTTTTTAGTTAGATTGCAATTCATCGGGTCCGCTTTTGAGCCAAAGCACTATAGGTGTAGTGGCCAGAGTTGCATCCCTTGGATGTGACAATCCTATGCTTGTGTCTTGATTTGGATTCTTGGTTTGTCAGCTCTGTACTTATACTATTTGTTTTCACTACCACCATCTGTATCACTTGGTGATATCCTCCAACATCAAGCTGACATCTTGTTATGCCATACTGTTTAAGGTTTTGTTAAACCAGCCAATCCTCTCACTCATAAAACTGGTGGCCATGTTGCAGGTGGCCAGAGATCTGGGTCTGGAAGCTAACAAGACTCTGAAACTGGAGAGCAACTCTCAGCTGGGCTACTTCTTCCGAGTGACAAGGAAAGATGAGAAGTCGCTGCGTAACAACAAGAACTACCGCACTATCGACACCAACAAGAATGGTGTTCGCTTTCACAACACCGCAGTACGTCAATTGAATGAGGAATACCTGCAAGCAAAGGAGGAATACACGGAACAACAGAAGAGCGTTGTCACAGAGATCATTAACATCGCAGGTACAGCAGTTGGGTCAAAGCAGTGCGTTGTTAGTATATGCGGAGTGTGTATCCCCAGTTGTACAGAAGTAGAATTTTAATGGTGTGAGAAACTCATTTTGCATTTGCAGATTTTCATGTGTGGCAAAGTTTAAGGAACTGAATCTCTCTCGTCTCCCTGAAGATAACATATCGCATGTTAACAGCCTGTATCCTTTACCCTTCAGCTGGCTACGTTAGATCCCATGCTGCTGATCAACGACAACATCGCACAGCTGGACGTCCTCGTCAGCTTTGCACACGTCGCCTGCAGTGCCCCTATCCCTTACGTCAGACCAACTATTCATGCGAAAGGTAGGACAGCCTTGAGCTAAGTGCTTCATCTGTGTATGGATAGTGTTGTTATTTTGTATCGGTAGATTTCAAAGGGGAAAAGTTGTCATTCCAGGTTTACACAATCAATTGAAACTGACTGGTTGCCAGCTATAGCACTCTAACGAGTTTTTATTCCAGATTTGAAGAACAGTATAGTGATCATCGTGTCAGTCCATTTGTACATTTTCAGTTTCCGGAGCAGGGCTCCCAAACTGTGGAGTATTGCTAGATGAAACTTAAACCATTCAAGTGGTAAACTGGTGCCTTTTGATAATTTGGGATTTTTGAAAATACTGATGGGCTTTATTTTCTTCATGGAATTGAAAGTACACAACGGCAATGAGCTGAAAAGAAAGGTACAAGAAGCTTATCTCCGTGTCGGACTTTAACCAGACAGGAGGGTCCAAGATAGCATTCAGACGTTGGCCCAACATTGGCAATGGTTTTGCCAACATTGCCAACGTTGGGCCAACGTCCGAATGCTATCTGGGGTATATGTCATATCCTGATGACTCTCGTTTCTGTTCACTTCATCAACTTATGATCAGGAGTATAACAGTTGCTGTCCTTGTGAACATCTCTTAATAAGCAAATATAGTCACACTGTTGTTTTCTCGTGTGTACAGATTTTATAAATGTAAGATGTCACATGACATTGCTTGTCCAGTAGACTTGCAATACAAGAATGGTTTACATGTATGTTTTGTCCACCAGGTGGAGCTGCACTGCGGCTGATGGAGGCACGACACCCGTGTCTAGAGATGCAGGATGATGTGTCGTATATCCCCAATGATGTCTCCTTCGTTAGAGGTAACCAATGTGTACCCACTGTCAGCTCTTACAGCATCATCACTAAGTAATACCAGGATGTGGGTTCAAATCTCAGATTCACCAGACTCTTAGGTTTGTCTGGACCACACCCATGCTTGTGTGTTGCACGAAGTTGGAAAATATCTGCTACCTGCATTACTTCAGACTTCTTCCCACATAAGAATCTGATGCAACTGAAATTATTTACAGACCACCACCATATAGCTGGAACATTGCTGAGTTTGGCATTAAATAACCAACCAACCAACCAACCAACCAAGATCACAAAATTCCCAGTTTGAGGAGGAATTACTGACATGTTCAGTAGAAACAGAAAGGACACAAAAATTCCTTTCTCGTATGATAATGGATCCAGCTTCACTGCCCAGATAGGGCCTTGCCTTCAGTTCCTGTTAGTTTTTCAGTTGGGGATCACAATGACGTTATGTGTATGTGCTTGTGACAAATGGATTGGGTTTCCTTGAAGCTTTTTTCCTCTGTCGCTGTAGGCTGTAACACCTTGTTGGTTTCTTCAGATTTTCTTATGTAATGGAGACCTCATTAGAATAATCTAAAATTCCAGAATCAACAAATCCTGAAGTTGATTCTAGTTCCATAACCAAGAGATTCTTTTGTTCTTCTGTGAAATACCTATTCTGCCATTGAATCTGGATTTTATTCATTTCAGCCAGTTCTGGAATCAACAAACTAGTGTGATTTCTCAGATGTAACCATGTTCCGTTTGATGTATGGTTTTGCAAAATAGTGACGTCTGTTTTACTTGCACAAAATGCACATTCAGAATCCTAAGTAAATTTCTTGCCCAGAATCAACTACAACAACAATAGCATGACGGCATGTCAATGGTTTATGGTTTGAATAACAGATCTGTTGTTTTGCAGACAAGGAAATGTTTCACATCATCACAGGTCCGAATATGGGGGGCAAGTCCACGTATATCAGATCGGTGAGATCATACAGATATCATCAGGGGTGGAAATAACTTTACAATTGCTTGTGTATTCCGGTACAGTGGCACTTGTGAAATCACTTGCCCTGAAATTTTTTCCACTATACCGGCCGTTTTCTTGTGGAATTTTTTAAATAAACAGCATAATTAACATTGGAAAGTCAACTGGACGCCGGTACAGTGTGATATACGAATTTGCTTGCCCAACAGAAAAAAACACTGGACTCGGACGTCGGCCAATGGGTTATTTCCACCCCTGATCATACTGTTTACTGTTTATCAAATGACCACCATATTTGCTACTAGAAAAAGAAATGAAATGAAAGAGCCTGTGTTCGTTTGAATTCTTTTTCAATAATGCCTTTGGACAAGGTCTAAAATGTTTTTCATTTCAGTTGTAGTTAGAGTTTACTTTTACTCCAATATCCCAGCTATATGGCGGCTTTCATTTCAGATGAATTATATGAATAAAATGTATTCCATTCAAAAGACATTAAGAGAACTGTAACTTTCATGATGGCATGACATTAAGTGTAGTCATGTGAAGAAATTGGGGATCCTTTGAATGCGTTTGAATAGTGTACTATATATTCTTTGTGTCCCAGAAAAAGATATTAAGATCCATACTTGTAGATTTTAGTTTGAAGGCAGCACTTAGTCTAAACTGGTGTGAATGATTTGCCTTTATGTTTCAGATAGGTGTCATTGTGTTGATGGCCCAGTTGGGCTGCTTCGTCCCATGTGAGGAGGCAGAGATTTCAGTGGTGGACAGTATCCTGGCCCGTGTGGGGGCGGGGGACAGTCAGCTAAAGGGTGTGTCCACCTTCATGGCAGAGATGCTGGAAACTGCCTCCATACTGAGGGTGAGATAATATGCCTGGATTGTCTAGATGGAATGGTGGCCAGTAGCATGATGGGAAGTATCGACTAAGAGATCCCAAGTTACCAATGCTTGTTTAGATGATAATTAGAAGTATTTTTTCCTTATCCTGACTCATGATCTTTTGCTTATCTCCCTTTTCCTTGCAAATGGTAGTGGAACACTTGAATCCCTTGTAGTTCCCGAAGCGGACGCAAAAATACACTCACCCACGAGTTACCTCCCTTATTTTCCGTGCGCAAACAGTCATGTGACCGGCCTTACTTGTCACTCTCTCCCTTCTTGCCCAAGCGAATCATATCCTTAAATATTTAGATCCTTTATCCACTTTAAACTGTGTATAGTTTTTTGGTTATGTTTAGTTTTCATCGTGTGTCAAACTTTTTATAAATTATTCATATGTTGTGACTTTTATTCATCATAATGTAGTTTGTTTACATTTGATGAATCTTGCAGTGTTACAGGTACCGGCTATCAGTGACTGATCCTCACCTCCAATGCCCGTCATGCATTAATCCATGTTCTTCCAGCTTGCGTTACAGATACTGTATTAATTTATCAGATTTTGAATTTAATCAACATTTATTGTACATCTATAGACGTACCGTGGATCAGGTGAGGAAGTCATCACAAGTCACGGTTGATAAACCTGGAGATCAAGCCGGTAACCGTAGGTTGTTTGCTACTGCAGAAATACATGATTCTGGTGCTATGTTGAGTACATTGCAGGGGCAGTCGTCTGTTACGGGGTGCACATCTCAACAACCAAGTTCCATCAGGGAAGTGGTCAAATGCAGAACAGCATCTTCACATCAATCTGCTAGAAATGAAAGCTGTGATCAACGCCGTACAACTATGGTCAAGTTCGCTGAGCAACAGAATGCTGATGATCCACATGGACAACTCTACAGTGGCATTCTCCATAATCGGCAAGGATCAACAAGATCGCCAAGCCTATTGCCAGTGTATGAAATAAGCCAAAAACCCAGCTAGACGATGAGGGCTGGTAACTTGAAAATGTTACCAGCCAAAATTGGATTTAACCAGACCAGTCACCAAGCAAGATATGCTGAATTTACTCATATGTATGGAGCATCTAAATTTTTACCAGATCATCAGGCTGGCTAGGTGTAAATCTAGACTGTCCATCAGAAATCTAGCCCGTCTTGGGCGGTCAGACAGGCCTTATTTCATACACTGCTATTGCAGCTCACATTCCAGTTGTTCAACATCACAGAGAAGGCAAACATCTGGATAAAGGCGTGTCACATACCGGGAGCCAAGCAGGTACTAGCAGACGCTCTTTCCCGACCACTTCATCCGTCACCCACGAAATGGATGCTCCATCGTGAAGCGTTCCAGCTCATTATAAGGGAAATAGGATCCCCATGCATAGACCTGTTCGCCATGAGGTTCAACAAACAACTACAGACGTTTGTTTCACCAGTACCAGACCCCCAAGCCTGGGCAACAGATGCACTGAGCATATCATGGGAAGGACTAAACGCCTACGCATTTCCACCTCCGATCTTACTACCGAAAGTACTGTTGAAGATCAAACAGACACAAGCGCTACAACTGACTTTGGTCGCGCCCTATTTGCCAGCGAGAGTCTGGTTCCGAGACCTAATAGAAGATCTCGGAAGTCCAACCCTCAAACTACCAGAATGGCCGAACCTACTCAGACATCTGCACACCAAGCAAGTCCACAGGAACCCAACACTGTTCCAGCTACACTTGTGGACCGTATCAAAACCTGTCTGAAGAAAAGAGGATACTCCGCCAGAGCAGCGAAAGCAGTAACCCTAGCGTTATTCAGATCTACTCGCAATTTGTGATGTGCCACTGTCATTGGATCCAGAACAATATCTTCTAGAATACCAGATAACAGCTCCATTTTTACAGCAGAAGCAAACGCCATCTTAACAGCTCTTAAATATATTCAAAGACATCCCAAACATAAACAATATATAATATTTTCTGACTCTCTTTCTTGCCTTCAGGCTATTAAAAATCTCTTGCAAACATCCACTTTTAATTGAAATAATCGAATTATATAATGATCTTGCCACTGGCCAATGCGACATCGTCTTCTGTTGGTTACCCAGCCACGTTGGCATTTCTGGGAATGCAATGGCCGATCTTGCTGCTAAGGCAGCACTCAACAAATCTGTGACACCACTTCTTATTCCATACTCTGATTACAAAGCTTGCATTAGAACCTACATCCGTGATCTGATGCAGAAGAAGTGGGACACCCAAGAAATTATCAATAAATTACATGAAATAAAACCCTGTATCGGTTACACTTACTTGGGTTGTCAGTCCAGATTTGAGGAGGTAATCATGCGACGATGTCGGATAATACACTAGATACACTCATGCTGCATCTATTGAAAGGTGAGGATCCTCCGCTTTGTATCCCTGTGATGAGAGAACCACGGTCAAGCATGTCCTGCTTGACTGTGTTGAATTCTCCATCATAAGGGATAAATATTTTAATGTTAAAACTGTTAAGGATCTTTTTAGTACTGTTCATGTTCATTTAATTCTTGCTTTTTTAAAAGAAATTGATTTAATTAATGAATTTTGATAAATATGTTCTGTACATGTCTGTATTTTAATTATTGGTAGATTTGATTAGTAACTTGAATTGTTAGTGGCTGTACCCTCAAAGGGGGTTGAAGTATTGTAAAATTATTGTCCTCCTGAGAGGGTATGTAAGTCCCAAAACATTTTAAGTACATTTAAGTATACCAGGTGTTTTAATCGTAGTATTTTTGTCATTTTAATGTATGGCTAATTATTGGTATAAACGCCAATGGCTTAAGGGATGGTGTAAATCCAGCTAGGGTCCATGCAGGTAGCAAAGGTAATGTAAGTCCCCATGGGCCTTAGTATGGTGATCTACCTCCAGTTGTTGGCGATCTATAGCCCATTTTTACATTATACTGTCTTCTTTAATTGGAATATTTTAGCTTTGTTCGCTAGTTTTAAATTCATATCTGTGATTATCTAGTATTTTTACTGTCCTTCGTCGGCAGGTTTTTATAATATCTATATGTATTCTATTTCAATGTCAAATGTTCTCGTCACAATATGGCTGAAATATTGCCGATGTGACGTTAAATTTTAACTCACTCACTCACTCGCAATTTGTATGACGACAAATGGCAGAAATTTGAGCAATATGCAAGGCGGAAGGGCTTCACAGCTATGATAGCTTCTCATCCTCAAGTGGCGGAATATCTATGTAAACTTAGATATACAAGACATCTGAAAGGTTCGACATTATCCACATATCTGGCAGACCATCAGTACAGTCGTCACTATGAAGTCAGGCATCAAACTGACGAAAGTACCAGAATTACTAGCTCTGCTGAGATCTTTAAACTGGAGGACAAGCAAAATAAATTCAGAACACCAGCCTGGGATCTGAATGTAATTCTGCAACATCTCATGAGTGATGACTACGAACCTCTAGAACAGACTACCTTCGAGCTACTCACACAGAAAACTCTGTTCCTGCTTGCCCTAGCCATGGCAGCTTGAATGTCTGAGATACATGCACTGGACTTTGGACGAACTAGATTTGACACTGGGCACCGTGCTGCAGTACATCTAGGACTTAGATGGGACTTTATTGCAAAGAATCAACTACCTGGTCAAGCAGATAGAGAGTTCCATGTACCAGCGCTGTCTAAGATCCTAGGATCAGAGGACACCCAGGACTTATCCTTGTGTCCTGTCAGAGCCTTGAAGATATATCTTCAAAAGACTAAAACAAGGAGAAGGAAATTCAAGCGCCTATTCATCCCCTTGTCGACAGAGACATCAGTGGAAGTCTCAAGAATGACAATATCATTTTGGATGAGAACCGTTATACTAAGAGCCTACAAAGCAGCAGGATTAGAACCTCCAAGAGCTTCCAACCCACACGAAGTCAGAGCACTGGCGTCAACACTAGCTCTGCATGGAAATTGCTCTATATCAACAATTATGGAGGGCTGCTTCTGGAAGTCGGATACGGTGTTTGCCAACCACTACCTCTGAGACATTGCCACCGAAGACGTCTCTGGCATTCACCAGTTTGAGCCTCTTGTTGAAGCACAACAACTAACGGTTCCTCAAAGGCTCTGAGTTGAAATCACACCCTTTATCACGTTGACTGGTTGATAACTTTTACTATGGAAAAAGTTCTAGTTTGAAAGTCCATGTGCACAGTCTAGACTAGGGTAGCATGAGTGATTAAGACTTTGTACGGGTAAAGATCTTACCTGTACGTAAAGGGGTCGCAACTCATTTATGATAAAGATCTTATCATAATCTATGGGTTGTTATAGATAACTAGTAAAAAGAAGATACTAGTATATCTTAAGCCACATGAATCTAGAAGATTCACTTGTCTGAGAGGGAAGTAAGACAAGATGGTGGTCCCCCCGAGTTATAACAGAAGGTGGAAGAATAGGATCTAGGAAATGTCGTTAAGCAGTTCCCATGGGGGGAATACAGGACGTATCTATGGACAGCTGATGAATCCAGGAAGTGGCTTGACCCACCACCAATCCGTCGGATTCTATAAGCAAAAGATCATGAGTCAGGATAAGGAAAAATATGTAATTTTTAAAGTAAAATTGATATTTTATACTTATCCTGACTCATGAGGAGAAGCCCTCCCAACGTCCCCGCTGGAAACACTTCGGATTTCACAGTAGATCCAGGTGCATGAGCAGAAAATTCAGGAGAGAGTGACAAGTAAGGCTGGTCACATGACTGTTTGCGCGTGGGACATAAGGGAGGTAACTTGTGGGTGAGTGTATTTTTACGTCCGCTTCGGGAACTACAAGGGATTCAAGTGTTCCACTACCATTCGCAAGGAAAAGGGAGATAAGCAAAAGATCATGAGTCAGGATAAGTATAAAATATCAATTTTACTTTAAAAATTACATATTGTGTATATTCATATTACTAGATCATGGAACATCTTGTACATTGATGTGAATTGAATGCATGAAACCAGAATAGGGATGTCAGAATGATCTCTGCCAGTCGGATTAGCCTGATACTGATTATGTTGCAGTCAGCATCTGAGAACTCACTAATAATCATCGATGAACTGGGACGTGGTACGTCGACATATGATGGCTTCGGTCTGGCATGGGCAATCTCAGAGTAAGTAAAGGACCTTTGTGTTAGACACTGTGAGGTAGGGCCTATATGTTAGACACTGTGAGGTAGGGCCTATATGTTAGACACTGTGAGGTAGGGCCTATATGTTAGACACTGTGAGGTAGGGCCTATATGTTAGACACTGTGAGGTAGGGCCTATATGTTAGACACTGTGAGGTAGGGCCTATATGTTAGACACTGTGAGGCAGGGCCTATATGTTAGACACTGTGAGGTAGGGCCTATATGTTAGACACTGTGAGGTAGGGCCTATATGTTAGACACTGTGAGGTAGGGCCTATATGTTAGACACTGTGAGGTAGGGCCTTATATGTTAGACACTGTGAGGTAGGGCCTATATGTTAGACACTGTGAGGTAGGGCCTATATGTTAGACACTGTGAGGTAGGGCCTATATGTTAGACACTGTGAGGTAGGGCCTATATGTTAGACACTGTGAGGTAGGGCCTATATGTTAGACACTGTGAGGTAGGGCCTATATGTTAGACACTGTGAGGAGTGAGGTAGGGCCTATATGTTAGACACTGTGAGGGTAGGGCCCATATGTTAGACACTGTGAGGTAGGGCCTATATGTTAGACACTGTGAGGTAGGGCCTATATGTTAGACACTGTGAGGTAGGGCCTATATGTTAGTCACTGTGAGGTAGGGCCTATATGTTAGTCACCGTGAGGTAGGGCCTATATGTAAGTCACCGTGAGGCAGGGCCTATATGTTAGTCACTGTGAGGTAGGGCCTATATGTTAGTCACTGTGAGGTAGGGCCTATATGTTAGACACTGTGAGGTAGGGCCTATATGTTAGACACTGTGAGGTAGGGCCCATATGTTAGACACTGTGAGGTAGGGCCTATATGTTAGACACTGTGAGGTAGGGCCTATATGTTAGACACTGTGAGGTGGGCCTATATGTTAGTCACACTGTGAGGTAGGGCCTATATGTTAGACACCGTGAGGTAGGGCCTATATGTTAGACACTGTGAGGTAGGGCCTATATGTTAGACACTGTGAGGTAGGGCCTATATGTTAGTCACTGTGAGGTAGGGCCTATATGTTAGTCACTGTGAGGTAGGGCCTATATAAGAAACACTGTGAGGTAGGGCCCATATGTTAGACACTGTGAGGTAGGGCCTATATGTTAGACACTGTGAGGTAGGGCCTATATGTTAGTCACTGTGAGGTAGGGCCCATATGTTAGACACTGTGAGGTAGGGCCTATATGTTAGACACTGTGAGGTAGGGCCTATATGTTAGAACACTGTGAGGTGAGGGCCTATATGTTAGACACCGTGGAGGCAGGGCCTATATGTTAGACACCGTGAGGTAGGGCCTATATGTTAGACACTGTGAGGTAGGGCCTATATGTTAGACACTGTGAGGTAGGGCCTATATGTTAGACACACGTGAGGTAGGGCCTATATGTTAGACACTGTGAGGCAGGGCCTATATGTTAGACACTGTGAGGTAGGGCCTATATGTTAGACACTGTGAGGTAGGGCCTATATGTTAGACACTGTGAGGTAGGGCCTATATGTTAGACACTGTGAGGTAGGGCCTATATGTTAGACACTGTGAGGTAGGGCCTATATGTTAGACACTGTGAGGTAGGGCCTATATGTTAGACACTGTGAGGTGGGCCTATATGTTAGACACTGTGAGGTAGGGCCTATATGTTAGACACTGTGAGGTAGGGCCCATATGTTAGTCACTGTGAGGTAGGGCCTATATGTTAGACACTGTGAGGTAGGGCCTATATGTTAGACACTGTGAGGTAGGGCCTATATGTTAGACACTGTGAGGTAGGGCCTATATGTTAGACACTGTGAGGTATATGGGGCCTATATGTTAGAGACACTGTGAGGTAGGGCCTATATGTTAGACACTGTGAGGTAGGGCCTATATGTTAGACACTGTGAGGTAGGGCCTATATGTTAGACACTGTGAGGTAGGGCCTATATGTTAGTCACACCGTGAGGTAGGGCCTATATGTTAGACACTGTGAGGTAGGGCCTATATGTTAGACACTGTGAGGTAGGGCCTATATGTTAGTCACTGTGAGGTAGGGCCTATATGTTAGACACTGTGAGGTAGGGCCCATATGTTAGACACTGTGAGGTAGGGCCTATATGTTAGACACTGTGAGGTAGGGCCTATATGTTAGTCACTGTGAGGTAGGGCCTATATGTTAGACACTGTGTGCTATATGTTAGACACTGTGAGGTAGGGCCTATATGTTAGACACTGTGAGGTAGGGCCTATATGTTAGACACTGTGAGGTGGGGGCCTATATGTTAGACACTGTGAGGTAGGGCCTATATGTTAGACACTGTGAGGTAGGGCCTATATGTTAGACACTGTGAGGTAGGGCCTATGTTAGACACTGTGAGGTAGGGCCTATATGTTAGACACTGTGAGGTAGGGCCTATATGTTAGACACTGTGAGGTAGGGCCTATATGTTAGACACTGTGAGGTAGGGCCTATATGTTAGACACTGTGAGGTAGGGCCTATATGTTAGACACTGTGAGGTAGGGCCTATATGTTAGACACTGTGAGGTAGGGCCTATATGTTAGACACTGTGAGGTAGGGCCTATATGTTAGACACTGTGAGGTAGGGCCTATATGTTAGACACTGTGGAGGTGGGCCTATGTGAGGTAGGGGCAGGGCCTATATGTTAGACACTGTGAGGTAGGGCCTATATGTTAGACACTGTGAGGTAGGGCCTATATGTTAGACACTGTGAGGTAGGGCCTATATGTTAGACACTGTGAGGTAGGGCCTATATGTTAGACACTGTGAGGTAGGGCCTATATGTTAGTCACTGTGAGGTAGGGCCTATATGTTAGACACTGTGAGGTAGGGCCTATATGTTAGACACTGTGAGGTAGGGCCTATATGTTAGACACTGTGAGGTAGGGCCTATATGTTAGACACTGTGAGGTAGGGCCTATATGTTAGACACACTGTGAGGTAGGGCCTATATGTTAGACACTGTGAGGTAGGGCCTATATGTTAGGGCAGGGCCTATATGTTAGACACTGTGAGGTAGGGCCTATATGTTAGACACTGTGAGGTAGGGCCTATATGTTAGATATGTTAGACACTGTGAGGTAGGGCCTATATAGTTATGTTAGACACTGTGAGGTAGGGCCTATATGTTAGACACTGTGAGGTAGGGCCTATATGTTAGACACTGTGAGGTTGGGCAGATATGTTAGACATACTGAGGTTGTCAAAAGGAATATGTTAGACACTGTTTGTATCATCAAGATGTTGCATATTGTTTAAATAAATCACAACGTGTTATATCCACACCAGGTGTTTTCTCTTCGTCTACCCAATGGTTCACACAGTCTTGAAGTTGAAGGGACTTTAATTCGAACCTGTCATAAGGGCCAAAACATGTTATAGAGCCATTGCAAGAAGCAACCTTGGTTAGCTCTAGGTTAAATATATTTTTCCTTTTCGGCTGTATATTTGAATCACATATGCATGAATATGTTTCCTTATCCTGACTCTCCCCTTCTCTTCCGAGGTTCAGTGGAAACCTCTGTCATATTGTTCCCAATGAACAGTTAAAAAATAACTTACCTCATTATCATAAAACTGACACAAACCGAGACATTCTGGCAGTGGCATCAAGCAAGAAAGTTTGAAAACGCTTTGGAAATATGAATATCTTGCAGGCATATAATTGAAAATTTTCTTTTACGCCAAAGGTTCAATATTTCTTTACGTTTTCTCTTTTCTGCCAGGCCTCTACAATTGGCTGAAGCTATTCTTATCTTATCACCCATATTGCTTCATAATGTGTGTACTGGTATTATAACTCAAATGCCTACTGATATGAATGTTTATCTTTTTTTTGGAGGAAGATGAAACTACTATGAGAAATGAATGGGGTCTTCAAAGCATTATAGCACCATATAAATCAAATGCAAGAGGGGTCGCTATTTTATTTAGCAATAATTTGGAAGTAAGTATCCACAAATTCATGACTGACAACAGTGGAAACTATATAATAGCAGATGTAACTATAGAAGGAATAAGAATCACATTGACTAATATATATGGTCCTAATCAAGATCAACCTGATTTTTATAATGCATTATTTCATAAAATTGATGAATTTGAAAATGAATCTCTCATAATATCTGGAGACTGGAACTTAGTTCTTAATCCTTCAATAGACTTAGAAAATTATAAAAATATCAATAATCCAAAAGCAAGAAAAGTAGTGCTAGATAATATAGAAAAGTATGATTTGACAGACATTTGGAGGAGAGAAATTATGATGTAAAGAAATACACATGGTGGAAAAAACCCTAAACAACAGTCCAGACTTGATTTCTTTTTAGTTTCTCAAGATTTAGCAAACATGACAACTGACTGTTCAATACTTCCAGGATATAAATCTGATCATTCAGCAATTACCATGTCTTTTCTAATCAACTTAATAAGGAACGAGGTGGAGGATACTGGAAACTAAATACATCATTACTTTATAACCAAGAATATGTAAACACAGTCAAGGATATGCTTTTGAAACAAAATTAGAATACTGTAACTGCACTGAGGATGAACTAGGTGATATTGAAGATTCTAAACTACAACTTAATATAAGCGACACTTTGTTCTTAGAAACATTTGTAATGAAAGTGAGGGGAAAACAATATCATTCTCTTCCTACTTAAAAAAAAAAAAGCTGAAAAAAGCAAAAATTTAGAAGGAAAAATTTTGGCAATGGAAGAAGAAATCAGAGAAAATTTCCAAACCATATGTGAAACTAAACTTTCTGAACTATCCAAATGTAAATTAGAGTTTGAAAAATTAAAAGAAGATGAAATAAGAGGTATACAGATAAGAAATAGAGTTCAGTGGTGCGAGGAAGGAGAAAACCAACCAACTATTTCTGTCATCTCGAAAATAGAAATTATACCAGTAAGCTTATGAATAGTGTTCTCAATGACAAAGGGGAAGTAATATCAGATGGTAAGGCTATATTAAATGAACAAAGGCAATTTTATGAAAATCTATACTCATCAGGTGGTAAAATAACAGATAATTATATCAATATATTTGATGATATTATTACACCCAAACTGCACACTGTACAGGCTGAAAATCTTGAGGGTGATATTACTATAGATGAAATAACACGAGCCGTTAAATCAATGAAAAATAACAAAAGCCCAGGAGTAGATGGTTTCCCAATAGAATTTTTTAAATTTTTCTGGAAAGATCTTCATATTTGGGTTTGTAGATATATATCAGAAGCATTCAGGCAAAATATGTTAAGTCCAACAATAAACAGAGGCTCATCACATGTATCCCAAAAGCTAACAAAAATAGACAGTTGTTAAAAAACTGGCTTCCAATTTCCTACTGAATTCTTTTGTATAAAATACTCAGCACATGTATAGCCAATAGAATTAAAACAACATTGAATACTCTTATTCATGAAACTCAGACAGGTTTTATACCTGGAAGGTGTATTAGCGAGAACATTAGATTATTATACCTACATTATGTTTGAAGCAAAAAGTACAAGATAAAAAGGGACTCTTGTTGCTTATTGACTTTGAAAAAGCTTTTGACACTGTCTCTAAAGAATTTATAATTTTAACAATTGGAAAGTTTGGCTTTGGACCCAATATGGAAAAATGGATCAAAAATATTAATCAATAATGCTACATCATGTGTTATACAGAATGGTCATTTATCACAATTTTTTGACAATGAAAGGGCTGTAGACAAAGGGGACCCAGTCTCCTCCTATATATTCATCTTAGTGGCTGAAATTTTAGGAATAATGATCCGTAACAACGCTGCAATAAAAGGAATTACATTGAATAACACTGAACATAAAATTGGACAGTATGCAGATGATACTGAATTATTTCTCGATGGGCCAAGAAAGTTTAAGGGCAGCAACTGACACTCTCAATAATTTCTACAAAATGTCTGGTTTAAGAATAAATATAGATAAAACGAAAGCAGTGTGGATAGGCTCAATGGCAGGTAGTAGCATGATTTTATGCCAGGATCTTAAGCTTGATTGGCATAATGGGGACTTTGATATTCTAGGAATAAGACTTAATCCTAATTTAAATAACCTTTGGGTAATTAATACAAGAAAAAGACTAGAAATTATTAATAGAACTCTAGGGAATTGAGGAAAGAAAGTTGACATTAATAGGAAAATAACTGTTATTAAAACTTTAGCACTTTCATCATTGGTGCATATATTCACCTCACTCCCAAATCCTCCAAAGGAATTCATTGACAAATTAAACAATATATTTTATAAATTCATCTGGAATGATAAGCGGGATAAGATAAAGCCAAGCGACACTTATTAGAAAATATGAAGAGGGGGACTCAGAATGGTTAATGTACAGGTATTCATAAACTCTTTAAAACTGTCAGTTTTACATAAATATCTTCAAAATAATAGCAGTTCTAGCCCTAGTATCTTTCCATTTAAAGATATATTTCTGCTTGGAGCCAATATTGAAAACTATGTCAGTATTATGAATCCCTATTGGAAAGATGTATTGGCTGCATGGGGAATATTCTATAAAACACATCAAACTGATTTTACAGATATTGATCAAATCTTATCTCAACCCCTTTGGTTCAATCACCAATTCCAAAATAGTAATTTCATTATAAGACATTGGCATCTCAAAGGTATTCACTCTATAAGAGACTTGTGTAATGATCAAGGTATTTTGCCATTTAGTGAACTTAAGAAAACTTACAAAATTAAAGGCACAATTCTTGACTATTACCAGGTTCTTTCAAATATACCCCAAAAAATGGAAAGAAACTATAAGAAAGAATTTATTGATTGTTCATAATCATTATCTTAACACATCACTGATAGATTTACTTTCAGCACCAAAGAGATCCAGATATTTCTATGACAAACTTATAACTACTGAAAACCTACCATCAACATGTGAAATGGCAAAATATCTTTGATATTGCAATTCCATGGCAAGATATTTTAGAAAATATAGAAGATGTACAAAAGATACCAAATTGATTGACTTCCAGTTTAAATTTATCCACAATATTGTCTACACAAAGAAAGAATTATTGAGAATGAAATTAGTAGATGATGAACTTTGCTCATTTTGTAATTTAATGTCAGAAAATTTGATACATGTTTATTGGGAATGTGAATGTGTGGAAAGCGTTCTGGCTGAAAGTGAAAAGAATATATTGAAGATAAATCATCAGAAAATTTTACCCTGACAAAATATACAGTCTTAATTATGGATATAATAACGACCTTATGAATCACATACTTCTTGCCAGTAAAAAATATATCCATATATCAAGTATTAAAAAAAATAAATTATCACTGGATACATTTGTAAAAATATTGAGTGATATCTTCAAGACAGAAAAGTTTATTGCCAGTAAGAATCAAAACATATTACAATTTGACAGAAAATGGTCATCTCTACTGCACACATTCCCAGCCTAATGAAGATCCCAATATGTGTAATGCCAACCCATATGAATTTCTCTCCTACGGTGTACAAGTGTTGTTGCATCATGTGCTTTGTATACATGTATCTACTGATTTTGAATGAATAAAAAAAAAAAAAAAAAAAAGTTTGAAAACGCCATTGGGTCGTCCATTTGCATGTGATTTCAACAGCTCAAAGAGACATTTTGTGCTTTAAGATTTAATTGTGGTTTGAACCTTGGAATGGGTATTGTGTTTCTAGGATTTTGTATCTTTTCCCATCAATTTCACACAGGTGGGTGGTAAATATCGTAGACCTCAAACACTTCAGACTTTTCTCCTACATCAAGCTGAAACTGTTTAAACTTCACCTTCTTTCAAGAAACCCTACAGTTAAACCCACTTTGGAAAGTGTTTTTGTGTTATGTGGTGTGTGCTACTTCACATGTAATTTTGTCTCCATGGTTACAGGAACATTGCAACAAAGATCAAGGCATTCTGTTTATTTGCGACTCACTTCCATGAGTTGACTGCACTGGCTGATGTCGTCCCAACTGTAACCAACCGTCATGTGACTGCCCTCACCACTAATGACACCCTAACACTGCTGTACAGAGTCAAGTCTGGTGAGTAAAACAGTGTTAATCCAAGACACTGTTGTGGGGGCCTGAAATGGGTAGCTTTAGGATATCAACATTGTGTATGATGGAGGGTGCTGCATGGAAAATATATTCGAAACCAACCATTACCATGGTAACAATATAGTTGATACAGTTTCTATTACATAATTCGATAACAACCGTAAATCTATAATAGGCGTGATAAGTAAGGCTGGTCACATGACTGTTTGCGCAGGAAAAGGGAGGTAACTCTTGGGTGAGTGTATTTTTACATCCGCTTCCGGAACTACAAAGGATTCAAGTGTTTCACTACCATTCGCAAAGGGAAAGGGAGATAAGCAAAAGATCATGACTCAGGATAAGTATAAAATATCAATTTTACTTTAAAAATTACATATTTTATTTTTTTTCAATTTTGTTAGGAAAAACAGTGTTGCACAATATTAAAACTAAAAGAGTAAGTTATGAAATGAGGTTGACGTAGTTTTGGTAAACTGCATCTAACATGTTCATCCTGCAGGTGTGTGTGACCAGAGTTTCGGGATCCACGTGGCGGAGTTGGCACACTTCCCCAAGCATGTGATAGAGGTAACATACTCCCAGCAGGGAAACTGTTGACACTGGGAAGTCGTAAACAATGCTGGGACTGTCAGATCAGCATCATCCCACTCAACACTCAGAAGTTTTACACACCCATTTCTTAGTCAGTTCTCCTAGATGCTTTTTAAAGAATTTCTATAGTGCCCTGTAGATAATTCATTGAACATTTTATAGAAGTTGATGATGTTGACATCTGGTGAACTATGTTTTCTTTCGCTGCAACCCATGTTAGCTGTAGAGAACTAACTAGATATCCATGAACTATATCCTGTGGTGCCCCTACTAGTGAAAAGTAGTCAACGAGCAACACTTTATAACTAGCAACAGATTTTTGCAGTGATACAAAGCACTATCGGAAGACAATGGTGAAGTGCGACAAAGTCACATGTATTGCAACCCCTGTTAAATTTTTACATGATCTTGATTACACGACTGTCAAGAATCGTGGACCATCATGTTATAATAAGAACAAAATCAGTATCTCTTGAAACTATTGCAAAACAAGATCCTGTGGATAGGCTTAGACATTTATCCTTGACACGTGACCTTGATCTCACAATAACGTCCTGTTTGAACAGTTTGCCAAGACGAAGGCGAGCGAGCTTGAAGACTACCAGTCTATCAGCCTCACCGGCACGGACCTAGATGGGGACTCAGAACCAGCTGTCAAGAAACGCAAGTGTGCCAAACAGGTCAGTTTGATACAGAACATATTAACATAAGGAGGCAAGGAGGTTACAGAACGACCAGATGTATTTTGTGAATGGTTGTAAGGCTGTAAGTCAAGCTATGTACAACAGTGCAGATAATATTCAGTTAATGGAAGCCACCAATGATTTCTGTGATTCTGGTTGCAGGATGGAGAACAACTCATACAGGACTTCATCAGCAAGGTCAAGGCCATTCCTGTGTCAACCATAAGTGATGCAGAGATCCTGAAGGAGGTGGGGAAGCTGAAGGCGGAGTTGGAAGCTAAGGACAACCCATACATCACAGACCTCTTGGCTCGGAAACAGAATACATAGTGACATTGAACACCTTTCCCTTGTACATTGTATATATAGGCATCATTAAACATCTTCATCAGTGTTCATGGGTAGTGTTGTATTCTCAAGGGACGTAGCTATACATAGGCACATTAAACATCTTCATCAGTGTTCATGGGTAGTGTTATATTCTCAAGGGGACGTAATATAGGCATCATTAAACATCATCACTGTTCATGGGTAGTGTTGTATTCTCAAGGGACGTATAATACAGGCATCATTAAACATCATCAGTGTTCGTGGGTAGTGTTGTATTCTCAAGGGACGTAATACAGGCGTCATTAAACATCATCACTGTTCATGGGTAGTGTTGTATTCTCAAGGGACGTAGCTATATATAGGTGTCATTAAACATCATCAGTGTTCGTGGGTAGTGTTGTATTCTCAAGGGACGTAATACAGGCGTCATTAAACATCATCATCAGTGTTCATGGGTAGTGTTGTATTCTCAAGGGACGAAATATATAGGCATCATTAAACATCATCATCAGTGTTCATGGGTAGTGTTGTATTCTCAAGGGCGTATATACAGGCATCATTAAACATCTTCATCAGTGTTCATGGGTAGTGTTGTATTCTCAAGGGACGTAATACAGGCATCATTAAACATCTTCATCAGTGTTCATGGGTAGTGTTGTATTCTCAAGGGACGTAATACAGGCGTCATTAAACATCATCAGTGTTCATGGGTAGTGTTGTATTCTCAAGGACGTAATACAGGCATCATTAAACATCATCATCAGTGTTCATGGGTAGTGTTGTATTCTCAAGGGACGTAGCTATATACAGGCATCATTAAACATCTTCATCAGTGTTCATGGGTAGTGTTGTATTCTCAAGGGACGTAGCTATATATAGGCATCATTAAACATCATCAGTGTTCATGGGTAGTGTTGTATTCTCAAGGGACGTAATACAGGCGTCATTAAACATCATCATCAGTGTTCATGGGTAGTGTTGTATTCTCAAGGGACGTAATACAGGCATCATTAAACATCTTCATCAGTGTTCATGGGTAGTGTTGTATTCTCAAGGGACGATAATACAGGCATCATTAAACATCATCATCAGTGTTCATGGGTAGTGTTGTATTCTCAAGGGACGTTATACAGGCATCATTAAACATCTTCATCAGTGTTCATGGGTAGTGTTGTATTCTCAAGGGACGTATATACAGGCATCATTAAACATCTTCATCAGTGTTCATGGGTAGTGTTGTATTCTCAAGGGGTGTAATACAGGCATCATTAAACATCATCAGTGTTCATGGGTAGTGTTGTATTCTCAAGGGACGCTAATACAGGCATCATTAAACATCTTCATCAGTGTTCATGGGTAGTGTTGTATTCTCAAGGACGTAGTAATACAGGCATCATTAAACATCATCATCAGTGTTCATGGGTAGTGTTATATTCTCAAGGGACGTAATACAGGTATCATTAAACATCTTCATCAGTGTTCATGGGTAGTGTTGTATTCTCAAGGGACGTAATACAGGCATTATTAAACATCATCAGTGTTCATGGGTAGTGTTGTATTCTCAAGGGACGTAGCATGTGATTAGTATCTTTTCACTGGCGTAGCTCTTGGCCTATAGTCTGTTTGCGGTGAAAACATACTGATGAACTTCACTTTAAACAAAAAAGTAAATCAAATAAAGTGATATTAAGATTGCAAAACCTCATAATTTTAATATAGAACAAGTTTTATGGATAACAACTTCTTTATTTCATGAGTGCGACGTGTCGATACAGATTCTTGTACCGTTGTCAAGCAAGAGTGATACATGAAGTGTAGGAGCTGCATATATATACTGTATATAACAATGAAACAACATAATTGGCTAAGCAGTAAGCTGCTGAAGCCAGTGAGTACACAAAGGATAGTGAATGGAAGCCAGAGATGTAGTTACAATGAGATGAGATGCTACATAGGTGAAACATCCCGACCCATCAACACCCTAGTCAAAGAACATCACACCTCTGTTGCTAATTCCGACACCAAATCAGCTATCTCTGACCACATCAAAGCTAACCCCAATCATCAAATAAAGTGGTCCGACATCACCATTCTCGCCAACAACTAAACAGACTTCACTAAACGCAAGCTCACCAAAGCCATTCACATCAAACGCCATAAGCCCACCATCAACCGTGACCAAGGATACTTCATTCCATCAGCTTATGATCCACTCCTCCACCAAGCCCAATCTATTGTATAAACATCGCACCTATTGTATAAACATCTCATTGTAAATACATCTCTGGCTTCCATTCACTATCCTTTGTGTACTCACTGGCTTCAGCAGCTTACTGCTTAGCCAATTATATGGTATATGTATATGGTCCATGTTCTACACTAACCTGGCAAGATTTGAGGTGTTTGTCCCTTGTATAGAAGTGGGTGCTCAGCAATCCCTATCAAAAACGTAAATAGGCGGCAAAATGGATCTTTGAATCTTTCAAATAATTTTGCATTTCTCAGTTTGTGATAATTAAAACAAAATATTTTGTCACACACACGGACAGTAATAATTTTATAACTCTTGGAAATATTTGTCATCCCTGAAAGAAGCCTACGGGATCCAGTACTACAGTACTGTCGGAAATAGAAAAAAACTGTTTTTTGGCTCTTACTCTGTATCCCTAAAATTTACACAGCTGCAAATAGCATATGTCGAAATAACCCACTTCGGCCTAACTTGACATTCAGTGGGATGCGTCATAGGATATCCAGAAAAGCATGTTTATTCGTAAAATCGGGCAAAACTTAGAAAAAATACGAATAGCTGCTGAAAACAATAGATCAGACTATAGATGGCAATTAGGTCGCTCAGCCAGGTATGACGACGGACCGTCGACTCACCTGGCATGAAATGGTTAGGTCTACTAATGCCTACAGTGAATAATGCCTACAGGGAATAATAGCCCTGGAATAGACACCCCTGGAATTCCTGACTGCTGCAGGATATTTGATCAAGCTAGCTTGAAAACCAAATGACTATGTTGATGAATGTGTGAAACTGTGTGTATACATGTAAATTACTTTTGGTTACCACAATGACTGGGGAGTTGACTGTGTGAAAGATGTATATATGTATATATAATCATGAATCAAATTAAGTTTTAATTACATTTTAATCCAAATAAATGATTATGTTTATTTATGTAAATTTATTTATCTCAAAACAAACTACTATGTGAAAGATATGAATAAAGTTTAAGAAAATTAAGAAAAATATGACAACAATGTGAAAGATATGTATATGAATGTACATATGTATATGAATGACCAAATAAAATGTCTCTCAACATAGAAAGTTACTGTTTTCTATATACTGTAGGCATTAGTGCACTTTGAAATAGGACCATGCCACTTTATTGAAAGGTTGAAGGCAGGTGCAATCAGCAGCACTGGTGCGTAAAGTTGTTTATTTAACACTGTAGGCATTATTCACTGTAGGCATTAGTAGACTCCACCCATGAAATGCATGTGCTGCCTACAGGCACGATGGGTCATCTCAAAGATATTTTGTGCTTTTTCATGTGTGTTGACTATGCCTCATCTATTGATTAAAAGCTTAAAATTTTTTTATAAGTGTCTTTCTTTCATAAAGTTTATGTTGAGATATGTAAAAGAGTTTGATACCTGATAACCATAGAAACGTATCGTATTAAATGTCTCAAAATATATAGGTGGCATGACCACCCGATCGCGAAGATCGACAGGACTGGATATTATTTGTAAATTGTTATGACATGCCGTGTACTTCCCCAGTATAAATTCACTTAAAGGATTATCGTATCTTAGCTGATATCTCTATCCACATATCCTGTGTAGTGATAATAAAAATACAGAACGTGATACAAACTACCAGGGCTAGACAACAACCAGCATGCAATATTATCAGCATGAAACCTTCATTTTCTTAATCCCTTTATTCAAAGGAAATGATAACAGACATCTGATTGTATGAAATTGTCTCCATGAGACTATCTCGCTTGCAGAACAATGAGATGACGTCACAGGAGGCTAAAAACAAGAGTTGTCATGGATGGAGAAGCGTTTTCCTGATTTGATCTTTTTTGCTTTGCTTTGTTTTGAGTTCTCTTATTTGTTTTCAGTTAACTATTTCCATGGTTAATGCCCCATATTAACTAATTAGGTTTCACACTTCACCATTTTGTAAAGTCACCCGTCAAAACATAGTTTCCAACACAAACATCATTGGTCAAAGCAGCGCGTTTCTCTATGACGTCACCTGATTGATGACGTCACTTCAACCTTTCTTGAAAGGTTACCGAGGGGCCACCAGCGTTGACATTCGGAGGATGTAGATAATCATTTAGCCACAGGTAAGACATCGTAGACAGAGATACGGGTATTATACGTGAGCGGGGAGGGGAAAACAAGTATTCTTTACTCGAATTCACTTTTCATGCGCCCCTAAGAAGTGAAGACACGCGAGCAGCCCCGAAGGTCAAAGTATGCTTTGTGTGTTTAATCAGACTTTTGGAATTAAGAAAAAAAATCAGACATGAGTGAGTCTGAGTCATCGAAAATGTTTTCTTATCACTGTATCGATTACTTTTAACAAAATCGCCATGGTGGCAGTTACACAATGGTGTGAACATTTATTCATTTTTGGAAGAGACGCGGGGACATTTCTAAATTTGACACTGATTTTACAGTAGTTTTTAAGTTGATAAGTGAAAGTGTTGAAGAAACCACAGTAGAGGTTGTTTTGTTTTATTCACGTACAGACCTTGTCTAACATAGGCATTACTAACACATGGAAACGATGGTAGATACTACCATAACAGACAGGGTAATTATAAAGATGTGCGAGCGAGTATGAGATTACGTTGATTTGAGCATTAACCAACAGATATGGGCTTTACAAACGGTACCTGTGTAAGGAATCCTAACTACCATACTATACCCTACACCCCTTATAAAGAGAAAAACCTTTTACGATACATGATGTCTAAGCGTCATAATGAAGAAAACAATGAGAATTTTTTTATACTATCTCACTAAACCTATTTTACCGGTTTCTTTTCAGATGTATGGAAGTGCTTCTTGTTAGGTTAAATCCTTTGCCATTAATGGTTTTATTGAATTTTGTACGTGATGGATACATATAGTACGCCATTAGTGTCTAAAAACAGTTGCGGTAGCAGTTCCAGTTTAGCCATATTTTCAACATCTGGTCCACTGTTTTACCTGTATAACGGTAAAGTTGAGATAAACTGCACTGCATAAGTGCGAGGCTTGCCGTTTCAGTCTCAGAAATTACACCTATTTTTGTCGCTAGCTCATAGCAAAGTTCTGACCGCCCAATAATACGACTAACAAGTTGACATAAGTCAAGCAACTTTCTCGAGCTATACGGCACTAGTTTCAAACTGGCGGCTACCATTCCCGACTATATATTTAAAAAATGAAAGGGTTCTTGGTTAAAAAATATAAAAACTGAGGAAAACATTCAGGAACGTCTACTAGATGATCGATATTGGATGGTAGCACTTCTCTTCTCACGGGTCAAAGGCTAAGGTACCATTCACAAGTTATGGCTGGTGTGTGTGTTGGGTTGGGTGTACGAGGGGTGTTGTCAGTGATTTTGTACATGACATGCAGGGGTGAGTGGTCACTTACTTTGTACATAAACGTCGGGGGGCTTTATTCTCATTGTACAGGCTTCTCCATAAAAATCATCTCACACACACACACGCTCAATTTTGCTAGTGGGAACCACTAAGCACATTGCATAAACATTGTATGAATATAATGGCCGTTAGAAGTTACAAGTTTCTTTATTGCACCAGTATTTGCACTCAAAATGGTTGTCATTAATGTAGGTGCTACAATAATGTGTCTTCTGTTCCTTTAAGGTCTTCGTTTGCATATTTCACTATTATATTTCACTTACAGACTGACAAATAAAGTTCAGTTGAGAGGAGGTGCCTCTCACATTCCGGAAAACCGGAAGAGCTTCCCACAATGCCCCGACATCATCGTCGGCACCGGAAGTGGGTGGGGCGTCTGATGAGTGCGTTCTGTGTCCGGCACTCGCAGAGCGAAGAGAGACTCTTCCTTGACCCGGAACACCAGCTTCTCATTGAGCTCCACGAACTACGATGTCTCAGCAAGAGATGTCCCACGCCCTTTGACGACTGGGAGCAGGCACTATGGCTAGCGGGTGCGGCAGCTGTGGCTCCGAAGGGAGCATCAATCCCTGTGCTCAATGTCTGTCTTGGGTTCGAGAATTCTGAACTGGGACATTTCAATAAGAGGATTGTGTACAGTTCTTACTCAGAGTCACATCGAGACAAAATGTTTGGCGACCAAGGATTCATTAAGTTGGCGTGTGAAGAGCTCACAGATGAACCGGTTATTGACGGGCTGCCTGCATCGATCTGGCTGCAGTGTTTGGAACCGGCCCTGGCTATCCTAAAATCTCTCAGCATCCTCAAACACAGGAAGAGCAACCTCACCAACAAGAAGGATATCGCAAATCGCCCCCTGGACAGTGGTTACAGTCAACATGGCGACTTCCAGTTCGGGCCCCTGGCAGTATTTGCTTTCCCTCGGCGTATGGTGATGCGGCTGGATGGTCGATTCGGAAGTCTCCGGAACGAATCTGGAAGCTTGGGACAGGTACCTGGACCCTTTTGTATTATAATCGTCATGTTAAGAGATTGTGGGTGAATCTTATTATAGCCACTTCAACAGTAATTCAATTACATCATTTCGGGCACCTGTGAAGATCCGGGTTAGAATTGGTCTTCAGCAACCCATGCTTGTCGTAAGAGGCGATTAACGGGATCGGGTGGTCAAGCTCACTGACTTGGTTGACACGTGTCATCGCATCCCAATCGCGTAAATTGATGGTCATGCTGTTGATCACTGGATTGTCTGGTCCAAACTCGAATATTGACAGACCGCCGCCATATAGCTGGAATATTGCTGAGTGCGGCGTAAAGCAACCGAGGTCCCTGCAGAACTAAGGGACGCAACTCCGAAAGGCGAATTGCGGCGCCTGTGACCCTTTCCTGTAGAAGATTGATCGTGAAAAGTGAGTGAGTGAGCCTGGCCTTACGCTGCTGCAAGATCACAAACGGGTACACAAAGTACGGACTTAATTCCATCGTGGAACATGTTTGGGGAACCGGCGTCTTTGGAAGTGATCTTATCGCAAACATCAACATTATTTTACTATAACAGAACACCGTTAGGTTGTCTCTCAATCAAGTTGATGTGAAAATACGAATTTTCCAGTTTGTCACTAACTAACTCGGATGAGGACATTTTTTTCTTTATGTATTTTAGTTTGCATTTGAGCTGAGATTTATTTAAGAAAGGCCAGTTTTCCCCGATACGATTTCGTGTCAAATGAGTTACTCCATGTCTGTTCTCAGTTTTTGACCACATACCATAAAACGTCACATGGAACTCTCTGTTTACAAATGCAGCTCAACAGTGTACCCCCGCCTCGGAACAACCACCGCCGCCACCGCGACATCCAGCTGTACCACATAATGCATAATGGCGACACTGAGGAATCTCAACAGATGGCGACTTTGGGGCTCCGCGCGCCTCAAGCAGCTGCAGATTCTGATGACGCCATTCCCTTGGTTCATCTGCCTGGGACAAACTATAATGAAGGAAATCTGAACGACAACGCCAACTATCCAAACGATCTCGGACCTATTGCATATGCACCTGACTATCTCCCGGACATCGAAGTTGTGGCCCAACATCTTTTTTCTCGCCGATCCTCCCCAAGACCTACCGGATTTTCCTCCCAATTTTGAGGCTGATGAGCATGAATTGCTTTCACACAGTGATGAGAGCGAGAGCTGTGATGACGATTCGAGTTCAGAAAGTGAAAGGGACAGTCAGGCTGGTCGTCTTTCAGACATCGAGGTGGTTGACCTTGAAGAGTTCCCGGAAGATGTCCAACCTCGCCCTCTGTCGGCATCACCATCACGTGACGATCAGCGGGCATATGAGGATGTAAGAGCTGTTGTTGAAGGTGTAGTGGCTGATATTGCTGGTGGGGTCGATGATGGCGTACAGTTGCGAGACGGCCAAGCCGATGTTGAGGCTGCAGAAGACCTTGTTCAAGCAGAAGCAGCGGTTGGGGAAGAGGGGCTCCCGGCAAGAGCGTACCCTGAAGGAATCTTCGAGCCCCGGGAAAATGATGAACATTTGTCTTATGATCTCGGCCGAATTATCTTATCCGATTCTGATATGTCTTTGGAGAATGCTCTTTGCGTCGACCAACCACCATACAAGTGGAACCACACGTTCCACCATCTAGAGAGGGGGACGCCCCTTCAGCCCCAACTACCCAAGGTGCGCCGTCTGAGACAGAAGCTCAAGGTATTCCTCACCAGTGAGTGCGGTGACGTCACCGGAAGCGTACTGGGAGCAGAGATCATGCGCAGAGTGGCCAAAGACCATTACACCCGACGGCGCATCATGGTGATACTTAACAAACTCAGCGGCCAGGTGAGGTGTTGGCGGTGGGGTTTGCGGTGGACATTATGGCCTCCGTTTATCCCCCGCATAGGGACTATTCTGCATGCATTTAAACACTGTGTACATAGGGTAATCGTTTATGGCAGATTGATGTACATTAGCACACAAACAAAGAAGGGAACTGTGGTGTTCGTTGCTTGTTGTTGGTGCCGCACTCAGTAATATTGGGTACTGTGGGGTAATTATAGTCTCTCTCACAGTACCTGAATCACATTATTTTCCTACTGCCCAGCCCTACCCGCAATGCTAAAACCCTATAAATGAACAAGTCTAGATTCCATCAATTTCTTATTTGACTGGGGCTCCTTTTCAATTTGAATGGGTTTATTTGTTACTATCAAAATTATATATTCAGAGACTAATCGTCAGTCTGTGGGGTAACTTGATACATACTCTGTAGGTCTGCAAATTGGCCTTGCCCTAGGTCCTCTATAATCGAGCAAATAATAAACCTGAAGCTGAGGTTACGATCACTTATCTCTCTCTCCTTGGCACCAAATCTTTAATCATAGGCTACAGATATACAAAGTGTAAATGTGCACCCGACGGACAATATTCATGAAAACATATCCCAGGATAAAAGTCTAGTAAAGACCCGGAGGCCTAAGGGTTGGTGTACATTGGAAAGTTGCGCGACTGTTTGGGGACAAGCGGTAAACCAAAAAGGATAAAGAAAAACGAAAAGAAAAACTAAACATATATTGGATACTACGAACGTTCTCCTTTCAAAGATGGCATGGCATGCTTTGGTAGTTGGAGTTCAAAGGTGACCTTGAATGTCACTAAGTTTATGTGACCTCTACTCACCTCTAAGTTTATATCTTATTCCTCCGCAGGAAGACGGACTAGCGGTCAACGTCAGCGAAATCGGCGACTCGGTTTGCGTTTCCGTCGTGGATCAGCTGCCGCCGACCATCACCGCTAAAGACACATGCCAGCGCACAAGGCGGGAACGTATTATGGAGCGCATGCGCAGGGCCTGGGACAACTTCCGACGCCGATTCAGACGTCTGCGAGACCGATTCACAGGCCGTTACTCTTACTGATAACGTTTTAGTTCCGTTATATATTTCCTAATGCAGTCAGTGGCGCGTATATGCATGTCCTCGTGTAAGTTAGTGTTTTCACCTGTGTTTATGCATGGTCAAGGTGCATTCACTCTTTAGTTCTTTGAGTAAGTTGACATAGTGTGATTGCAAGACTCGCCATGTTTATGTCGTGTATTATGTAGAATGTTACATATTAATTTTCGTATTTATTCTGCAAGTAAAATCATTGGACACATGCTTGGTGTTGTGTTTTTCATGCAACGTTTACCTAACAGAACCTTGACACGTCTCATAATTTATACCAATATGTTAACTGGATCTTTGCTTGCTGGAGAAACTCCAACGTAGGTCATGGGGAGTGTCCAGTTTCGCCCCTTAGGTGCGTCAGGATGCTTTGGTTGTGGTTCGAATACCAAGTTATATCCTCTCACCGCACCTTTCCAGCAGGGGCCCCCTTGGCAGCTATTGACATACCCAGCCTCTCATCACCACATCCTGATTCTGGGTGTTAGCTTTCAGCGTATATTTCACTACAGGTTTGTGTGTTCGTCACGGTCGGATTTTTATTTTTCCTACAAAACATCCGGAAAACGATCCCTATCTGCAGCAACTTGGCAAGAGACATGTAGTGCAACAGCGGCAGCATATAACCATTAGACATGTACTACGGAAGCACAAGCAAGTATCCTTACTGAAAAGATTCTTTATTTAGGAGAAATAGTGAGTGAGTGTGTTTTATGCCGCTTTTATTAATATTCCGGGAGACACCAGAAATGGGCTTCACACATTGTACCCTTGTGGGGAATCGAACCCTGGTCTTCGGCGTGACGAGCGAACGCTTTAACCACAAGGCTACCCCCACAGTCCAGTAGGGGTATAAGAGATATGGCGCAGGACATACATGGTGGTATGTTTGATTTCAAGGATGTTCTGTAAATGATGATGAAGACGGTACCTCGGAACTCTTATGTAGTTGAGATCAAGTTTTAGAGTATGAAACATTAACGCCAATTATAATGTGCATACATACATACATACATACATACATACATACATACATACATACATACATACATACATACATACATACATACATACATACATACATACATACATACATACATACATACATACATACATACATACGTACATAACGGCACTAACTTTGTGGGAGCCGTCAAGGAACTTAGACAGCTAATTTCGGAACTTGATGGAGACGATCTAAAAGCTTCTTTAGCGAGCAGAAAAGTCGTGTGGACGTTTAATCCACCACATGCTCCCCATTTTGGTGGAACTTTCGAATCTTTGGATTAAATCAGCCAAAAGAGCAATCTATGCTGTTCTTAGTTCTGGTGATATATCAGACGAGGAACTGATGACCGCCTTTGTAGGGGCAGAGGCTTTGTTAAACTCTCGACCTCTGACATTTCAGAGCGCACATCCCAGTGATGTTGTGCCTCTCACACAAAACTATTTTCTACATGATCAGTGTGGTGGCCCCTTTGCACCTGAGGAAGACCTACAAGACTTCAATCCTCGTAAACGTTGGGGGCGTGTGCAGGAGTTGCTGAGGCATATATGGAAAAGGTGGATGAAGGAGTGGTTACCCACTCTCAATGTCCGCAAGAAATGGCAAGCTACACGTAAGGACTTAAAAATAAATGACGTTGTCATTGTTGTTAGTCCTGAATCTCCACGAGGAAGCTGGCCGCTAGGTAGAATCACCAAGATATATCCAAGCAAAGATGGATATGTCAGAGTAGTGGATGTCCAAGTGGGGAAATCGGTGTTGACTAGACCTGTTACTAAGCTTCAATTGCCCACTGGAGTGGAATCCAGAATAGGACAAACATCGTGTACATTTCAAGTTCAGTACAGGTCTACCCAACATTTAGTGTAATTAGATGTAAATAGATGTCTCTGTGAAAGACCAGGGTCTTGTCAGCAAAGGGGGATACGTTCTGGAGAGAAAGTTAGTTTCTTTGGTTTTGATATCTGATAGGTGAAAAAACATAGCCAAAACACATCTTTACAAGAACCATGAACAAGCCGAATAGCGACTCGTGCCCCTCTGGAAGGATTTCATATTGGCGTAGGAACATCAGAACTACTTCAAACAGGAACGATAACTCATACATTGTATTGCTGGTTTTGTTTTTGCTATTTATTCTACAGAATTAAACCTCCTTGGTACAACTAAAAGAAAGAAAAACCCATATTTGTTAAAGACATATTCTGACGTAATTATTACCAGATATTCACCTTATATTTCCAATTATATTTCTGAAAAGGGTTTAATAATCACAAATGGGATTTGTTTTATTGAATATACAAATAAAATTTGTAAAAAAAACCCGCTACATTAAATCCCAAAGCAGAAACTAAAAAAATGACTTGTATAATATTTCTCAAACTGAACATACGTGTAACCTTGCTGTCATACCACAAGTGGACTTTTAATTGAATTCGCTGAAAAATATATGAATGACCACAAGAAGGTCAGACTAAAATATTCCCAGAGAATTGAAATATATGCCCAATGTTAAAGATTAAAGTTGATTAGTTACATACAGATATAATATTATTGTTTTGAAACTCGTAGCGATATATAGTTGCATTTCCTAAAATTGTTGGAAGCGCACGTACAATCTCCATATCAAGCCCGCAAGATCGTCAGAAACACTCTCAGTTAGACCCATGAGAGCTGTTATGTCAACAAACGCACGTGCGTGTACTAGTTTTTGAATCTCTCGCCGTCAATCGCATGATTCTTATCAAAAACACCATAATAGGCAGCAAAATCCTGTTAGCTACGTTCTTTGTACGTTCAATATGACGATATACATTTTTCATGATTTTTTAAACAATGACATAATGCCATAAACGATTTAAGTACTCAGGATTATTTTTACCAAAGCACCGCAGTCATTTACGCGCGTTCTGATTGGTTTGTCGTATTTTCGCACATAACAAGCATCGAGGGGGGACGAGTCTTCTTGCAGGTTACGGAAAGGGGCAAGTGGTGACGAATGTGTATGGTCGACAATTTTGATCAGTGAGACTCTGGTCGTTAGATTATACAAATAGTTTGCCATATTCGGGCATAGTATAGATACTAACAATTTAGAATTATAGTTGTGTATCTTATCAGATAGCTTATTTAGTTCATGTAGTTTAGAAAAGTATCATATTTAGTTTGGTGGTCGGAGTGGCAAAAGTATCATATTTTGTTTGGTGGTCGGAGTGGCAAGAACGTTGTTTATTTACCATTTAGTTAAGCACGTTTTTCACGTTTCACGTTCACAAATTAATTTAGTAATCCACTGCGTAAACACTGTGCGTCAATCATATTTATAGTTAGCGTTACGTCAATTCCGGATTTACACCCATTATAATATGAAACCCCCCACACAGACGGCTCCTTTTGGAATCAAGCAACGCAACGATTAGCATACTTGACCCTGTCTGATCCCCAACCACCCACGTCCCACACCCATTCCTCAGTCAATCCCTTGTGAACTGAAACGCGTGTTTTAAATATGAATGATTTGATATGCTATACTTAGCCATGATCCGGGCAAACCCTTAGACTCTGTGTTTCTTTCTTTGCGGAAATATAGCAGCAACCATGAGTGGCGAAATGACTGCGGCGATCTAGGAGTGTCTTCTATACTTCTATACACAGATCACACCAAACCCAGAAAAAGAGGTTTAAGCTAGCCTCTAGTCGATGTCGCAAGACAGATATAAGAATTTTAAAAAAGAGGATATAATAATGATTTGAATAAAGTATAATAATGCACATATTTTCACTTGACATGACATTCAACATGATAAGTTTCGTGTATTTTCTTTCATTATATAAGTCGTAACAATTTGCAGGATGATTTGATGATCATAACCCGTCCCCTTAGTGAGATAAAAACGCTGCCCACGATAGGCGCACTCCTAATACTTACTGCATAAACTTGGCGAAAAGTTCTGTCCGACCCAAATCAATTACTACTCCAAACCTATATATTGGTCATACGTACAATCTAAATGCTTCATACTTCTAATATATTATTTCTAGAAATGTTACTTTAACCTATTTGAATTAACTCTTGAGTGATCAGTTCTGGGAAAAGGTGAAGTGATTCTAGCCTAGGACAGAATTATACTGGTGTGCAAGTTTAAGGGAGTGATTTAATCCTGACACATCAGCTCAAAGAACTTTGTGCCATTATGTGGTTATGTATCCTTAAACGAAACAGAAAATTCGGAAACATGCTTCATGTATAGTCTGTTTGCAGTGAAAACGTACCGATGAATTTCACTTTAAACAAAAAAGTAAATCAAATTAAGTGAAATTAAGATTGCGAATCCTCATAGTTTTACCTTGCCAAATGAACATTTAAATCTCAGAATTTTATTCAACTCTGGATAAAAGTTGTTTAACAAACGATCATAGATTCAAATCGCTATTATTGGTTTGTATTACAAAAGATTACCTGCCCAAAGTCATTTTATAATGCTTTATCGCAAAGATTAAAATATATGTACATTCAGACCTGGAACTCATCTTTAATACAGTCGCCCAAATCCACTTTTTTACAGTACTTTTAAATCTTTTTCCATACAGAGCAATACCTACACGATATTAATCTTAGAAAATTCCACGTTTCATTATCCAGATTTAGATGCTCTTCACATGATCTTATGATCGAGAAGGGCAGATATTATAATATTCCAACAGAAAACAGATTGTGCAAATTTTGTGCACTAAATGTAATTGAAGATGAATTCCACTTTTTGCTGGTATGTCCTTACTATGCTGATTTAAGGACAAAATATCTACCACAATATTACTATTCACATCCTACCATGTTTAAATTTAATTTGATAATGAACTCTAATAATACAACTTATATTCGTAAACTTGGTATGTATATCCACCATGCTTTTGAACAAAGAAAATAACGTTTGCAGACATTGTGATTGTATGCCATTATTGTTTTTATATTTTGTACTATAGGCCTGTGGCCTCTTCAGTAAAGGAATAAAGAGATTTGAACCTACAAGGGGGTAAGCTCAGTAGATGGAACAGTGAAACAAATACACGTGCCGTACGTGATGAGCGTTAACTTAGACCAGCCTTTCTTGTTCTCGGTGTTTCATCTAATGTGCTTACCCCCCTGTAATACAAACCAATAATAGCGATTTGAAACTATGATCGTTTGTTAAAAAACTGTTATC